CCTGCTCAGACCCTGCTCCTCAGCCCTGGCTTCCCTCCCTTGGACCATGCCTCAGTTTTCCCTGGGATCTGGTGGGACCCACACGGGGACCCTCCCCAAATGAGCCACCTGCTCCATTGGGTTTGTCAGCCATTCACGCTGTTTATTCTGCTGGCTCTGGGGCTGTGGGACATGGGCAGCCCTAGGCTCTTCTGCCTGCAGCCTGGCTCACCTTGGCTCAGCCTTGCCCCATTTGGGGAGCATTAACCCTTCCCCTGCTAGGCTAGCAGCTGCCTGAGGGCTACGGGAAAGAGGCCGTGCACAGTCTGTAGAGGCTGAAAGAGAGAAGTGGGCTGGCAACCATGCACAGCTCTGGCCAGCACGCCTGGGGCTGGCTGAGGATGGGCAGGCAGCGCCAAACCCTCTTGCTAGGGTCCAGAGTGGGCAGGGGGACTTTGAGTGCTGTCCCCAGCACAGCTCCAACCTGTGGGCACAGCCTCTTCAGCACAAGCCTTTCCCTGTAGCAAGGCTGGGAAGGGGCACATGCTCTCTAAGGGCTTGGTCCTGTGGGCAAGCCCATGGCATCTGGGCACTGAGCTGAGCGTTGAGCAGAGGGGCTGACCTCAGGGCAAGCAAGGAGCTAGGCAATGGGGTGCTGCTGATGGGGGCCACCCCAGCACCTGGTATTTGCAACAGGAGGAGGATGGGAGGGACATTTGGTGGGGGGAGCGGCTCTGAACAGGCTGCTTAAGCCCCTGCTCCTTTTGTCTTGCTGGGTCAGGGCTGGAAGCACTCGATGGGGTCATTGGAGTCGGGCAGGATGTTGCAGTTGATGGGCCAGAGGATGCCGAGGAGGCCGAGGGACTGCTGGCACCGCAGCTCAGCAGCCAGGCATACGGCTCGGCAGGGCTGCAAGACCCCCCCATCTGGGGTGCACTTGGGCACGAAGAGGCTGCAGATGAGGAGACGGAGGTGCTGGTAGCAGGCAAGCTCCATCAGCGTCTGTGGGAGAGTGGCGGTGAGCGTGGCATGGTGTGATGTGGGCAGACCTGTGGGAAGCCCCCGGGCAGCTCACCTGGTAGTCCTGCAGCACCTCGGCAGCTCCCTCCTGGTCCGGGATGGCCAGCCAGATGTTGGGGAAGGAGGTGGCGTTGTAGCCCAGCCCCAGGCACATCTCCACTTCCACAGGCTCACAGATAGACCCTGCCACAGGTTGGGGTGCTTCACTTCTTATAGCAGCAGTGATGCCCACCGAGTATGCCTCGGGCAGATGTTAGCCATGGGGCAGCGGCCAGCGTACCTCCCCGGTCAGGTGGGCTCAGGAGGAGCTGAGTGCTGAGTGAAGCACCCAGGGGTGGCACTCACCGAAGGCCGGGTAGGAGACTTCAGTGCAGTTCAGCTCGTCGGTGCCATCAGGGCAGTCGTGCCAGCCATCACACACGGACTCCAGCACCCGGCACTCACCGTTTCCACAGGAGAACTCTGCAGGGCTGCAGGTCTCTGTAAGATGAGGGGCCAGCGTGGCAAGGCATGGGCTCGGGCATGGGCACAGGCAGGGAGCAGGCTGGCTGTGGCCCGGGTCATGCCAATGGTGGCTGGCCTCCCTGCTGGGAGTCAGCCTGTTCCCATGCTGACCACCCCTGTCCTCGCTCTGCTTGGTCACTGGCCCAAGGACATCCAGGTGAGTGGCTGCAGAGCACTGCTGTATGCCTGGCAGCTGTATGCCTGGCAGCCATGGCTGATAGGTGACCATTGCTGGCCCTGGATTTTTCTGCGGGGCAGCCCTCTGGTGATGGATCATGCCTGTGTGCAGGTGAGCCCCTCCAGGCCACATCCCCATGGCTAGGATCAATAGGGTTATAGGATAATTAACGTGAGAAGGGACCCCAGGGGTCTGTAGCCCAACCTCCTGCTCAAAGCAGGGTCAGCTATGGGGTGAGAGGAGTTTTTCCCAGGGCTTTATGCAGTCTGGCCTTGAAAACCCCCAAGGACAGCAACCGCACAGCCCCTGCTTGGCTACCTACTCTCTGTGGCATTGTTGGCTTGGTAGGTGGCGAAGAACCCGTCGTCTGCTA